TTTTTTTTTTTTTTTTTTTTTAATCTGAGTTTTTCCTCCATGTTTCTTTGACAGAAAGTCAAGGACATGACCTTCAAGGAGGGGCAGGAGTTCAAGGTCCGCATCAAGCCTGATAGTGACTGCAACAGGTATGTGTTAAATGGGTGTTTGGAAATCCAGATTATTTTTGCTCAAGGGGGATCTTGATGTAACAAAGTTCTCAGATTAACCCTCCCTTTTTACCACTCTAACCTCTAATCTGACTCCACTGCAGCTTTGCTATCAACATTGGGCACGATGCTGAGAACATTGCGATGCACTTCAACCCTCGCTTCGACTCCAACAGCATCGTCTGCAACCACTTGTCTGGCGGGTCCTGGGGTGACGAGCAAAAAGAGGGATATTTACCGTTTTCTCGAGGGGAAGAATGCAAGGTGTGTATAAAGTAGATGGGGAAAATATACAATGACTTTTTTTTTTTTTTTTTTGACTGTTTGCATTCTTGAGTGTTTGACAGCACAAAACGAACTGACGTTTTTGGTTCCCCTCTTCTCCCTCTACTTTAGTTCTACATCAACTTCAACATGGAGCAGTTTTACATCAAACTTCCTGATGGCAGCATGATGAACTTCCCCAACCGCCTGGGAGACGTCAAGTACAAGTACTTTGACGTCAGCGGTGACGCAAGAATTGTGGGAATCAAGGTCAAATAAAGGCGATGAAATCCCTGAGTGGAAGCCCTTTGCTTGTTGCTGAATTAGTTGTGTTTACTGATTCCAGATCTGATCATGTTTGTCATAATGGTGTCGTCATAAACCGTCTCAGTACACTGACTGTAGTATGATGTAAACCCTTAAGAGGGAGCCAAAACCTATTTTACATCACTGCCCTCCCTGCTTTGCAGCTCATCAGTAACTGTCAATAAAAACTGAAAAAAAGAACAGTGGCTCTTTATTTGTTTAAAAGATTTGACTTGATGAAAGATTACAAATCAGTAGAATTAGTTTATTTGAAAACTTAACACAAACCACATTAGTCACATTGAAGAAAAGATAAAACCAAAGATAATCTTCTATAACCGTTAACATTGTGCACGCAGTGTGAACACACACCATGGAACGAACCTGCAGAGTGTCAAACGGTAATGGGACAAAATTCAACAGGATCAAGATGAAGTGGAGACAATTGACAGCAGGACTCTAAAGAGCTCCGTCAACCCTGAGGAATGTAACGCAATGCAGCAACATTCACTGGAGGGTGAGGAAATGTGTCTACTGGTACGTGGGTTAGATGTGTGTGAAATTAAAGGCAAATTAAAGTTTTAATTTAATAAAAATTGAATAGTTGGAGACAAAGAGGGTTTTAATTCAGCCAAAATAAAATGTGTTTCTGAACAATGTCCTCTAAAGCGGGTGTTTTCAAACTTTCAGGGTCTGGGGGACCCTTTACAGGACAAATATTTCCAGGGACTTATTTTAATTAGTGGAGTGGTGAGGAGGTTAAAGGTGGGCCTGTGATCGTAAGATCGTCAGTTCAACTCCCGGTTCCGACATGGAGATGTCAGCTCTGCTCCACACAGAAGGCTGTGGTTGCATCAGGAAGGGCATTCGGTGTAAAAATAATTTTCAAGTCTTTGTGCTGCTTGGTTCGCTGTGGCGACCCCTGAAGAAGAGAGCAGCTGAAAGAAGAAAATAGTTTATGTATGTTTGTGCCCCGAGACTTCTGTTGTGACTTGGTGCTGTATAAATGAACAGAATGATAAACTTCATGCTGATTGAAATTTGTTTACTGTCATTTTAATAGCCATGGGAAACATGTTTTTACTGTAAAATTGGTCCTTGTATTTAACCACTTTTTCAAATATGACATAACTAATAATTCACTTATTCTGAGGACCTCCAAGTTACTTCTCGTGGACCCCTGGGGGTCCAGGGACCCCAGTTTGAGAACCTCTGCTCTAAAGACCTGATGTGCCCATGAGTTTTCTTGTTCGCTGTTACAGTTCCTGTAGTGGGGTTGACACAACTGACCCGAGATCAGCCCTGCTTGACCCTGCAGACTGACCCTTCTGGGCTAAGTAATCTTTATAGTTCCGAGTCAGCAGAGTGTACAGAAAGGGGTTGATGCAGCTGTTCCCGTAGGTCAAACAAGTGACAAAAAAATTGACATAATTATGGGCAGCTGGAGACAAAGCTATGAGCGAGTCTGGAGAGAACAGTTTAGCGAGCTGCCACCCCCAAAAAGGTAAGAAACAAGCCCAGTATGCTACTACAATGCTTAAGATCATTGATAAGACTTTTTGTTTGAGTCCTTTCCTCCGAGCAGAGCAGCTGCTACCTCCTGAACTAGCCTGGACTGTCCAGTAGCGCCTGGCTAAACCAGCATACAACCCAACAATTACCAGTCCAGGGCCTAAAACACTTGTGAAAAACAGTACTGTGATGTAAGCCTTGAAGGCCTCAGGTGTCCAGGTGGGGAAGCAAATTCTTTTCACCAATCCGGCCACGTTAGGTTTGCCCTCCTGGAGTCGGATCATCACCATCATTGGAAGAGTCAGGGTGAAAGCTAATCCCCAGATAAATCCAGCGGCGAGGCGTCTGTTGCGTGTTGACGATCGGTGCGCGCTGAAGGGCTTGGCCACCGCCCGGTATCGTTCCAAGCTCATGGCGACCAAAATAAAGACGCTGGCGTGCATGGTGAGGAGGTCGAGGCTCAGCAAGATGCGACAGCCCGCCTCGCCGAACATCCAGTCGTGGGCGATGTAGGTGCAGACGACAAAAGGGATGGTGGAGAGATAGAGCAGGTCAGCCAGAGCCAAGTTAGTGATGTAAACATACATGGAGCCCGTCCGGCACAAAGCAGCCGAGCGAGTAATGATGAGCGTGTAAGTGTTGCCTGCCACCCCCAGGGCGCACATAGCCAAAAGCGTAGCAGCAAGCAGGAACGTCACCCACAGACCTCCACTGCCTCCTGCACCACTTCCACCACCTTGGTGGGCGCCGTCTCCACCGTCTGGGCTCAGGCCAAGTCCCAGATGGGAAGTGATGTTGGCATTAGACGTGTAGTTCATCGCAGGTTTACAGATTTATCAGAGGATCTTGGTAAAATGACTCCTCCAAACGAAATGGGGGGGAAATATCTTGCGAACTATCCAAATAGGAAGTGATAATTTCTTGAAAGCTGATGAGACTTGTTCAGTCTAACCAAAGAAAGAACAGAAAAGAAATAAAACGTTGGTCACATCAACAGCTGTATTTATTCTTAGAGCAGATGCAAATCCAATACTCACATAAGCAGCTGTATCCACGCCAAAGCTGCCTGTAGCTTGCAGCGTGCACCATGTTTTCTGCATTAATAACAGTCTTTCTTTAAAACAGCATGATTCCAGCCATCAGGACACCTTGCACATCAGTGCTGTTCTCTGTGAAAGACCTCAGTAATCTCTCCGTTGGTCTCCGAGGTTAAGTGAACTGACCCGAGTCATTTGAGACCAATAGAAAAGCACGCTGCCTCTCAAAAATGGACAATCCACACTGAAAGTCCTTGATAGAAAACTTCCGTAGTGCCCGGTTGTTCTTGAAGGGGCTTCGGCTGCTGACATCTCTGGAGTAGTTCCCATCATGAGGAGAAAAATCCTTTTTTCTTTCGTTCAACGTTACATGTTGTTGTGAGAACTCCCACACGAAATTAACTTGAACGAATCTGCAGCCAACACATAAATGAGCCAATTTTCCTGAAGTTTCTCTCCTTAAGCGAACCTTTAAGGCATCACGGTAAAATCCAACGTTTCCTAAATGTTCTTAATGATTTCCAGCAGATTTTGCTGAATCCCTTTGGTTTCACGTGGTGGCAGATGAGTAATCAGAGTCCCCTTGGCTTCTGAGCACAGCTTTGACACTCATGCTTTTTTTATTTCTTTTTGTCACACCTCTTTCACATCTGTCCTCCCTCTTTCTCATCAGGGTGAAAAACTGGCACGGCGTCGCAGATTTATGCGACATTGCTTTCGAGCTTCAACCTGCTGCTCGAGAGCACCGAGGTGTAGATTTAGACACCACAGAACTGTTGGCAGCAGCAACTCTCTGCTACTACACGAACATTTCAGGAAATTTCTGTTTAATTAAATATTTTCATTTGTTACAATTTCCATTATGGTTGTTAACGTACGGTTACATTGTTTTGCTTAGTGTAACTCCTCTTGAGTTGGTTCTTTAACATCTGTTGTCAAAATACTTATTGCAATGTCAGGCACCTAATAAATAAGAAAATGTTAATTGAAAAATCAAAAAAAAAATTACTAGTTATTGATAATTCTTTGTCAGTCAGCTGTTGTCAAATGGAAAAATGCCTCTAAAGATAAGAAAAGCACAAAACTAAACTCTTAAACAAAATATTCTAAACGTTGCACCACATGGAGGTGCTGTTGAACCACTGAATGGTTTTGTAGTTTCTGAACATTTTCAAGCACATTGTTTTTTTTTTTATTAAAAGAACACCTATAAATATAAAACAATGCGTGTACGTTTCAAAGAATATGGTGTAGAAACAGAGAAAATTAGTGATTTATTGATAGTGATTAAACATTTATGAAGCCTTAAGAATTGTCGATATTTCTGCATAAATATCACCTAAAACATTATCAGGTTTTCACACAAGTCCTAAAAGTTGTTCAGTCCTGCTCACCGGCTTGGAGACATTTTAGCCCGTTCCTCTGAACAGAACAGCTTCAGCTCTGGATGTTGGTGGTTTCCTCACATCAACTGCTGCTTCAGGTCCTTCCACAACATCTGGATTGGATTAAAAGGTCAGGACTTTTGACTTGGCCATTCCAAAACATGAACTTTATTCTTCTTGAGCCATTCTTTGGGAGAACCATCATTGTTGCTGCATGACCCACTTTCTCTTGAGAGTCAGTTCATGGACAGATGTCTTGACATTTTCCTTTTAGAATTCTCTGATATAATTCAGAATTCATTGTTCCATCAATGATGGGAAACTGTCCTGGCTCAGATACGACCACCACCACGTTCCACAGATGGGATTATGTTCTTATACAGGTATGCAGAGTTTTCCTTTCTCTAAACATACAGTAACGCTGATCATTTGAACCAAAAAGTTATATTTTGGTCTTATCCGTCCACAAACCATTCTTCCAGTAGTCTTCTCGCTTGTTCACGTGATCTTTAGCAAAGTGCAGTTGAGCAGCAATGTTCTTGTTGGAGAGCAGTAGCTTCTCCTTCAACCCTGCCATGACACCATTGTTGTTCAGTGTTCTCCTGATGGTGGACTCATGAACATTAACATTAGTGAATGTGAGAGAGACCTTCAGTTGTTTAGAAGTTACCTTGGGGTCCTTTGTGACCTCTCCGACTATTCCATGCCTTTCTCTTCGAGTCATCTTTGCTGGTCCACCACTCCTGGGGAGGGTAACAATGGTCTTGAATTTCCTCCATTTGTACACAATCTTTCTGACTGTGGATTGATTGACATCCCATTGATTGAAAACACCTGACTCTAATTTCACCTTCAAACCACTAATCCAAGAGGTTCACATACTTTTACCGCTCACAAATATGTAATATTGGATCATTTTCCTAAATATATAAATGTCCAAGTCTAATATTTTTGTCTCATTTGTTTAACTGGGTCCTCTTTATCTACTTTTAGGACTTGTGTGAAAATCTGATGATGTTTTAAGTCATAGTTGTGCAGAAATATAGACAATTCTAAAGGCTTCATAAACTTTCAAGCACCACTGTTTGGTGGTTTTAATCTTTACAGTTGAGTCCAGGATAAGATTAGTTCACGTATAAAATATATAAATAATATTGAATTTACTTTAAAATGCACATTATTTTCTACATAATCACCTTCAGAATGACAAATGTTTAATACCATCTATAAAGGTAGAAACAAAAACATTATTTATAGTACTACATGTTTGTACAGAGACCATTATAAAGATGAGTTATTAGCCCAAGTTTAATTTAAAAAGCAGTATATTTATTTTCTATAAAAAGTCCCCAGGCACACAGGAAGCAGTTAGTGTTTACCATCAGCAGAAGCCGCCACAATTATCAAGAGAAAATGTACAAGAGAAAAGAGAAATGACCCCAACTGAGAAGTCTAAATTTTAATGTGCAGTTAAGAAGCTTTTCAAAATATAAATGAAAATATGTCAGACTGAAGTTATTGTTCCTTTATACTAATTGAGAATGTTTTTCCCCCCCGTTTTGAACTTGATTAACTTTTTTTTTTGTTTGTTTAGATGAATCAACAGGCTGTAGTGCGACGTCAGCCGTGATTAGGATGAGATTTTAGCGTCTGTAGACACTCCGACGAGGATCGTATCGTGGTTCGAACAGATCTTGGGCTGACGAGCTGAGAACAGGTCCTCTGATTCATCAGTGTTTGTGCTTGAACGTCGCCTCCACTAGAACACAAACAGAAACACAAACAGATTTCATTTCACACGAGCTGACAAATGATGCCTTTCTAATAATTAGTATAGGTTCAATATTTCCAAATCTACTGAAATGTGTATTTTTATTTGTCATTACTTTTCATGCATCCACTTAAGTTCTCCCCTTTTGATGCAATGTAATAAAGTTGCTCATGTAGTAAAAACAGAAATAGTCCCCCCTTTGGTTCCCTGTCAAATTTAGAATATATTTCAAAATCTTACTTCTAACCTACAAAGCCCTCACCAACCTAGCTCCATCTTATATTACAGATCTTATTGCCCCATATTTTCCTAACAGAGCACTTCACTCTCAGACTGCAGGCTTACTTGTGGTTCCTAAAGTTTCCAAGAAAAGTATGGGAGGAAGATCTTCCAGTTATCAGGCTCCTCTCTTGTGGAACTAACTTCCAGTTTCTGTCCATGAGGCTGACACATTATCCAGTTTTAAGACTGGACGTAAGACTTTCCTTTTTGATAAATCCTATAGTTAGTAGCTTGTTATGCCATAGACTTGAGACTACTGGAGAACAAATTGACCTAATTTCCTTAAATTAATTGTTAAAATTGAATAGTTTTCATTTGATACTATTTCTATCTTAACATGTGCTTCTTGACCTGCCATTGTGTATCTGTTCCTCCTTCCTGTTCCTCTCAAACCCAGCTGCTTGAAGCAAATGGCCGCTTGTCCTGAGCCTGGTTCTGCTAAAGGTTTCTTCCTCATGAGGAAGTTTTTCCTTTCCACTGTCGCCTTCATGCTTGTTCAAGATGAGAGTTCTGTGATGAATTTAAACTTAAAGCAGTCTGCTCCTCAGATGAATAATGTTAAAATTTACTTTTTATATATATGAATGTTTCTGTTCAGTGCCCTGAGATGACGTCTGTTGTGACTTGGTGCTATATAAATAAACTGAATTAAATAAAATAGAATTTATTTGTCATTGAGCTTGAACTACTATTATGCTACTTCTAACTTACTTCATCAAGACTACTTAAGGAAAAAAAAAAAAACTATTACGCCATTTGAATTTTAATCATATCACAATTTGTAATTATTTCCACAAAATACCACAGTTTTACACATTTAAAAAGAATAATATTTCCTTTTTTTATTTTAAAGGTCACTTAGCATAATCCGGGTTCTAGACCTGATTCTGTTAAGGAACCAATGAACAAAAGTTCCTTCTTATCAGTTAAGTTTCTTATTATTAATAGAAAATACCCATATTGAAAACAATGAGAAAAATGAATAAATCAATGGTAAGAAGTAATCATTAATAACTACAGGAAAACTGTTGAGTACTTACTTGAGTACTCTTGAGGGGACATGGGCGTACTCATGACATCATTGAAGTGTTTTAGCCAGTCCTGCTGGTCACCCTCGGTCTCACAAGTAAACAGGAAGCAGCGATCAGGTGTTTTTATTGTGATGCCGTATTGCCAGGCACCATTGCAGTGGCTGCCAGTGGGCAAGTCAGCTAGTGCAAAGTATCCATGGTCACTGTTCCCCAAGAACACTTCCCCTCTAGCAAAGGCATCCTTCAAACACGGGGAAAAAAAGAAGAAGCAACCATGAAGATCACATTTCATCTCTAATGTATAGTAGTATTTATTACTACGTATTCAGTTTGTTTTGTCACTAAATGAGTAGGTTTATGTTTGGATATTGGGTTAAAACAAATTAATTAAATTAGAAAAAGTAGCCAAGCGTATTCATATTTACAAAAATATTGCCCAAATAAGTAACAAATAACAGCACGGTGAGAGACACAACAACTGATGATGCTAAGTAATGCTAAGAAAATATCTAAAAAGGTCTAAAAACTGCAGAAAGTTTTGAATTTAGGATACTACAAGTTTGTGATTTCCAAAGGTGGGGTCAGGACAGCAGCGTGGGTGGAGAAAACCAGGTGTGGAGTCTTCAGAATTTCTATATACAGTAAATCGTGTTAATTTTAAAAAGGGCACGAATATCTTTAAAAATGGATAAATTAGGTTGATTATGGCTTATTAGCAATGTTTGTACATTTACCCTGTGATAATTACAGGACACGAGTTTCTGCAATTATCAGGTGCTATGTCAATGTCTGAGGGATTTGAATCTTGGGCAGAAAACCTGGGGGTGGCAGGTGGGTCTGGACCCCATCAATTATGGAAAAACAAAAAATGGACCCCCTCCACAATAAATCATATGAGAAAATTATAATATAATTTTAAGCAATATAAAGACAATAAATCATTTCTGTGGTAACTATATTTTTTTACAGAATGTTTTTTTTAATAGGGCTGGACAATATGTCGATATCGATATATATCGCGATATACTTTTATTCAATAACAGTAATGTGAGTTTTAAGAACTTTTTCGATATTGCGATATGATTACAGCGTTTCACTGACGCATTTCTTTTTCTGTTCGTGTTGAAGCAGCCGCTTCAATTTCAACCCAAACAGAAAAAGCTGCGACACAACTACGTAAGTGCGTGGCGACGTAGATGTTACGCAGAGCTCGAGTCCAGAAGGAGTTAGCGGTAGCAGGCTAGGCTAATCTCCAACGCGTGTTAAGTTTTCATTTCAAATCGAGTGCCCATGACCATCAGAATGTGACTGAACAAGCTTTCACGAGTGAAGAGAAAACAGATGACATAACTGATAAAAGAGGAAAGACTAATTTGGCGGTGTGGAAGTGGTTTGGCTAGCTAAGATCCGATAAACTGCAGGTTTCAGTGTGCTACAAAATGTGACGGAGAGTCGTTCCAGCTAGCGGTGGGAACACATCTAACTTGTTCCACTCGACAGAATACGCTGAGAGTCAGAAGATGAAGCACAATAAAAGTTTGAGCCAACGTGTCCCTGAAACAACACCCCCAGCTGTATCAAAAGAGAAACCCATGCAGCAAACACAGACGCTTGCTGCATGGGTTATATTGTTTAAAGTTCAAACTATTAATATTGACAAAGTTAACAGTTTTATGTTTATTTGACGGTGATTTCAACTTTCTTTGAAGGCTAAATACAAATAAAAGATGAACATGAATTTATTTGTACAGTTTTTCTGAGGCTTTTATATTGTTTATATCGATATCGAATTATATCGTTATCGACCGAAATTAAGTATTGCAATAAGTTTTGGCCATATCGTCCTGTCCTAATGTTTAAAGAAAAAAAGTATAGTTCCACAGACATTATTTCTGCCATCACTGTCATTAGTTCATATGTCAAAAGCCAACTACAAGTCATTTACTTCCCATCAGCCCCCGCTGCACTTTGCATCAAAATGTCAACTTTCTAAACCAGAAAATCCTCGTTAAATACCAACTGAGGAACTGTGTTAATAAACATTTAGCCTTTTAAAAGTGTTTTTGATCACTTTGAAATTTACACTTAGCATTCATTTCACTTTCATGATTTACAGTCGCAGCATGGCGGCTCAGCTGGTATCGGCTCGGGATCTTTCTGGGTGTAGTTTGCATGTTCTCTCTGTGCATGTGTGGGTTTTCTCCGGGTGCTCCAGTTTCCTCCCACAGACCAAAAACATGCATTTTAGGCTGATTGGTAACTCTAAATTGTCCCTAGTTGTGAGTGAGAGAGTGAATGGTTGGTTGTCTCGTTTGTCTTTATGTGTCCATAATGGACTGGAGACCCGCCTCTCACACAGTGATGGCTGGACACGGGCACCAGTGACCCCCCACGACCCAAAAAGGAAGAAGCGGGTAAAAGATAATGGATTTATGGTTTCTGTTAAAATGTACCACTAGCTTGTTTTCTGTACTCATCTTTCTACCCCTTAACTGTATTTTTACTTTTTATTTTGTTTGAGTGTACTTCCTGTCTTTAAGTTACACTAAAGTTCTGTTTTGACCCGTTTCAGCTGCAGCCTGTTTGTATCCACGCCTCAGTGTGTACAGTTCCTCATTTGTACTTTGCCAGATTCTTGTTGTCAACACCATTTGTTTTTGATTTGGTTCTGAAACGAGTTTATGTTCAATTCCAACGTTAAAATTGAGTTTTCCATTTCCCTGCCCGCCCGCTCGCCTCTAGACTGCATTCGAGTCCTACGCCTCAGTATACCTCTATTTAGGAGTGCCACACCTCCAAATATTAATACATTCAGTCTTTTTCAAGTAAGCTTCATTTCATAAGCATTCACAAACCACAACTTATAATAGCCAAGACGTAATTTAGCTATTGCTTAACTTGTCAGATTGCATTTCATCGAGCAGCTTCCTTCATACATTCCTGCAAACACTCGAGACTTCCTGTTTCTCTCGTTTCAGTTTTCCTTGTCCAACTCTCCGAGGCTAGGTCTGACCTTTCAGTCATTTGGTAGCTTTAACTATTGCATCTCTCCCTTAATCTGTTACATCAGTAACACTGCTAGCTTGAACTAAAGCAACCTCTTTTATAAGGTCTTTGCCAAAGGCCCTGAAGTAAACCCCATTTTGACTCATTCGGAATCAACTACAACTCTTCCACAGAACAGACTGAAGACATATTTAAAATACTGCACTTAGTTTTGTCTATATATGAGTCACTATAACTTATTGCAGCAAGGCAATTCTCTATAAACCTCATTTTGGCTTCAAGGTAGAAAATACTGTAAGTATAACTGAGTTAAGAAGGAAATAAAAACTCCTATATTGCCCTCTCAACACTCAGTCAAGACGACTTTATATTACCAACATTATTTACCTCATCTAATATGCTCGCCTTCTCCCTGCACTTCCCACGATGCTCATTTAAATCTCTGCGCAGTGAACTCATCAAAGCACAACCACTTGATGATTTGTTGTCTAGAAACAAAAGCTTACGCCAACACGCTGGCTAAAGAAATACAGTATGTTTATTTTATACGATTTAGACGGTGGTGTGTGTTGAGAGATGTCGTACCAGTGGGTCTTTGAAGTACATGAGTCGTCTGCGATCCAGTGTGAACCAGCGTTTCTTGAACCCTTCTGTTTGCTACGCAGACAAACATACAAACAAAGGCAGAAGATGAAGTTTATGAATGTGGCTACTTGGTCTGAAACATATTGAAGTCATCATTATATCTTCAAGGAAGTTTTTTTTTTCTTCCCCTTATCAGGTTTCAGGAATCCCCGTCCATTTCAAGGTCCTTCAAAAGCGGACATCCTAAATTTGAGTCACTTAACTAACTGATGATTTGAATATTTCAAAACTTGTGAGAAAATAATCATTTTCTTTATTGCATATTACTGGTTGTATAGCGCTGTAGTTACCCTATGAAAAAGCATACGTATCATAACGATATCTCATAAGGCTGTATATGGGCTCAAATTCCAAGTAAAAAATATTTTGCTAGTGTAAAAAAAGATTTGTAATCTTGTAAAAAAAAATGTATTTGGATTAAAAAAAAAAATCAAAAGTTACAAAACTTTTACGATGTTGAAAAACTTTTTTAAGTGTATGACATTTGTCCTGGATTTTACTCCTCTCAGCTGATTGGTCAATGTCATGTCTCTTGTGTGGGTGTGTATATATATATATATATATAGGAGCAGTGCGAGAGTTTGAGCTCTTTGAATTGAGAAAGCTCCTCGGATGAGGAGCGAAACGTCTTCAAATAAAGTCCAGTTGTTTTTGTCTTTTTTGAAGTTACTAAAGGTAGTTTCTCACTGGGCGGCTACTTAACGCAACTGGACTCAAAATTGAATAAAAAAAAAAAGTTAATTTCCCATTGTAGTTTGAAAAGACAAAAAGCTGGAAAGAGTTCCAGAAAGGCTGGAGACACCAGCAGTCGCAGCTCAGCAGGATAAAAGTATCCAAAATTCAAAATGTTTTATGAAACTAGATCATCTGCAGTTTCTCCATTGCAGACACTGAGAAAAGAGATACTTCCTCTAAAAGAAATAAAAACTGTTAAATTCACAAGATTTAAAATAACTGATTGCACACAAACACATACACACGTACAGACACACAAAACTCACTGAGGGACATTTGATTGACTTAAAATAAAATGTTCTTGCAAAATAAATTGAGACAAGTCATAATAGATAAAAGTAAAAAAAAAAAAAAGAAGGAATTTACCATAAAAAGTTGCATGGATGAAGCTCAAATAATTAAAATATATCATTAAATTCATCTTACAAGAAAACCATAAAATATGATTTTTTTTGTTCAGTCAACATTTTGATTCCAGCTAGTCCTTTCGTAATAACCAATAAATCAATTAACCGCATGAGAAATGAAAATGATCTACCTCATTTTCATTTATCGGCTTTATCGTTTCTTCGTGTCTCTCTCTTTCTACTGAAGACACTGGATGACAAATGGCTCAACTCCGGTGCTCTTCACTGATCCCTCCCTTTCTCTCTTCGCTTTAAAATCCATTTAAACCATTCAAAATCACATTTTTGGATCGTTAAAAGCAGCTAAGATGAGAAGGTAAGCTACAAGCTAAGCTAGCAGGCCGACTTCGGAAAAAAAAAAAACTCAGTCTTGTTGAAGCTCCAAAATTCACGGTTGAAACCCGTGCCTCCGTGTAAAAAGTTGTTTTTCTCTGCAAAAAGAAGCTGTGAACTTGTTTACTGATTTGTTTTATTAAAAGCTTTGTGGAAAATGCTATGCTAAAGAGCTTGAACCACACTGAGTATCTGCCATTTTGAGAAGTTACAAAAAGGAAGGAGACAGCCCATGTCACGTCAAGGGGCCTCCCTCCCATTTTTCGTAAAGAGACACACTGCTTGCTCCCTCACTATCCATCCTTCAGTTCAAACAGTCTTATACTGCCATCCAGTGATCAAAAAAGGTACTACACACAAAATAAATTAACCAACATTTCTTCTCAAATTTGACAATAATTACTAATTATTGTCAAATTTCAAACAATATTATCGTTTATCGCAATAATTTCTAAGACAATCGCCCAGCAAAATTTGTTATCGTGACAGGCCTAATTCCAGCACCTTAATGCGGTATCAACTTTCTCTTTATGTATTCAGTTTAAGGTGAACAAGTCAGAAGTTTTACATTTAAAATATCAAAAGGAACTACCAGGTTTCATTGCTTTAGTATTGTCTAGATCCATTTTTAAGTTGTTTATTAAGGAACAGATAGGAACCTTGATTGTGTATTTGCTTGAATCTACAGATTTACTCACTCTGGGACCTGTTTTCTCCATGTATCCTTCCTTGAGGAAGTTCCGAGTGAGTCTGGGTACAAGCTGAAAGCAAACATTAAGAAAATAAAATCATTTTCTAGTACCATCTGCCAGTAAATGCATCCAAATACATAATTCTGGTAGGTTTGTGTCTTCACCTCAGCATCAGTTGCCCCAGGGAACGCCACCTTTAGGTAGTGAAGCTGAACTGCCCGGATTGAATTAAACCAGTCTACAATCTCCTATAAAACAGAAGTTAAAACAAAGAGTTGGCATTCATCATATATGTGTGACAGAAACAGAACAGAAAATGACCAAAATACTGGGGAAAACACAACAAAACCTACAGTTTATATGTTAACGTCTAGTTTAATTAATGCCTGTCTTGGCTTCATTTGGGAGATACTGCAAATTCTAACTTTTTCAGTTTTTCTGTTTCAAATCCAAATTAAAGCATTCCAAAAATTAATATATCCTCTTGTCTAGTTTGATGTACTCTGAGATTAAACCAAAATCTGAAACAAGAGATTCCAGGTCTGTTAAATGATCACAGCACCTGGTGTGTATCCTAACTTTCTGCAGTAGAAAGGCAGGTCATTACTCTTCTCTGATGTGGTTCTGCTGCAGACTCTCAAGCCTCTACAAACAAATCTCATGAGAACACTGAACTGCTCACCATACATCACCGTGTTGATGAAAGGCAGGGGATGACATATGTGATGCTTAAATGTCATGCGGTAATGGATTCCAACCGCCATCATAAACTAAAAACAAATGACCTTCTGAAGGTTTAGAGACTCTCTCACAATAAAATAAACCACAAAGTTGCTTTACTTATGAAACAAATGATAGGGCTGGGCGATATGGACCTAAATTAATATTTCAATATTTTTAAGATGAATGGCGATATACGATATATATCGATACTTTTTTCTTTCCATAAAGTAAAAAGAAAAATATATTTCTGAGTCAAAGCTTCGACCCATTTGTCACACAGGCACATTTATTAACAAACAGCTGTAACCGTTTCACTTGTGAAAATAATTGTCTCGTGGTCAATATACACATTTAGCTCAAAAACTAATTCATTAAAAATGATTACTTAGCATTATATGCCTGGCGTTATTAATTTTTTTCAAAATCAGCTGATTGAATATTGTAAATATGAAGTCACCAATGGCCAGGTGACCCAAACACTGCATCCTCAGACACTTATTCAGCTGTGTCGCCTTCACGACGTTAGCCCTGTTGTCTTTAATGTCTTGTTCCACAGTTAAGACTGGGACCGTGTCTTTAGCGATATGATAAGCCAATGCTTTATTAATGCTGCGCTGCCTCTCACTTTTCCTCTCATAAGGCACAGCATGGGTAAATGAGTTTTGTACCGTGGTTTGTTTCAGGAAAGGAGTCTGAAGTGAGGGGCTGGGTTTGTATTCAGTGAGGGAGAAAAGAGGGGCCGCATGAAGTTGAGCACAGACGGGGAGAAAAAGAAGAACTAGCGCATTTTCAAGTCTAATTATAACTCAACGTAGAAATACTGATATAAACGATAGAGCCCCATCTCATATCACATATGAAATTATCTTGATATTTTTTAAATATTGAGCTATCCCCCAGCCCTAATAGGTACATAACGTGAGTATCACTTAGCACTGTGTATATCAGGCTTCTGTTCACACTCATACGTACACAAGCAACACCTATAAACGCTGGATGTTCTGAAATGCACACCTTGCCATTATCATGATACACAAAGATATTGCGAGTGCTGTAGTCTTTGAGGTAGGTGATCTGCAAACCGTTGGGGTTTCCGATCTTCTCTGGCTGGAAAGAAGCGTTGATGCCGTCCACTTTGATGACTGCTTTGGGTTCTTTAGCCTAAAAAAAAGGGGGAACAACTGTGTAAAATGTAAAGCTAAATAATGTGTTTTTATTATGTTTTACAATAATGCAGGACTGGTGGGGGTAATTATGATAGTTTCACATTTGAGAGTTAACATTGGTATTAATAGTTAGTTATATCACTGAAAATAAAAGTCTTTGTAGCTTTTTCCACATACTAAATAAAAAAAAAATAGGTGAGGCAGAGAATAAATTGCTTGCAACTGGCAGCTTTTCAACCTAACAACACAAACTCCTGCATGATGGAGCCTAAACCGCATGAACAGTTATATCTTTAATATATGTGCTACCATATACTCCAATAAAGTCCATGCTCAATAATCCAGGTATACAATCCAACAATTTTCAGACAGTTTCTTTTTTGTGTGTGTGCTGAAACGTTTCACCTTCCATCCAGAAGGCTTCATCAGTCAATGAAACAAACAACATAAAACTGATTCTTCCCCCAACATCTTATTCCAAAGTGGAACAAACCAGTTATGTTGGTGCTAAGATGGACACTTTGGCACGCCCCCTCCTCTAGTGCCGGCCCTTTCCCTCGTCGACAGTCATAGCAAACTGGTTCAAAACCAACAAAGTCCATGCTCAATAATCCATGTATACAATCCAACAATTTTCAGTCAGGTCATCAGTTTTGTGTAGTGTGTTTCCTTGACTGATGAAGCCTTCTGGATGGAAGGTGAAACATTTCAGGAAAAAAAAAAAAAAAAAACTGTCCAGATGACGTAACTGAAAATTGTTGGATTGTATACCTGGATTATTGAGCATGGACTTTGTTGGTTTTGAACCAGTTTGACATGACTGTCGACGAGGGAGAGGGCCGGCACCGTGCCAAAGAGACCATCTTAGTATCAACATAACTGGTTTGTTCCACTTTGGAGTAAGCTGTAGGGGGAAGAATCAGTTTTGTGCTGTGTTTCCTTGACTGATGAAGCCTTCTGGATGGAAGGTGAAACGTTTCAGCACAAAAAAAAAAAAAAAAAAAAAAAAAAACTGTCCAGATGACCTGACTGAAAATTGTTGCATATACTCCATTATTTTTATGAGACAAGAATTACTATAATTACAGTTATAGGATTTTTATGTGCAAGCATACAAAACATAATTTGCTTAACATGAAAAAAGGAATTTGCACATTTAGTAACTTATCCTTAAACACAATCAGGAGTGCATTTGCATTTCCTACTGAAATATTTATGCATGAGTATTTCTTTGATTTTTATTTTACATCTATGACTTTCAAACCATAAAAATACTATTAAGGGCAAATTGCACACTGTGCTGAATCACTGATAACCATCATATTTTAGAGCCAAAACTAATCTGATTAGAAGTGTTTGTGGATGTTGTGCTTTACTGCTCTGACTTGAATTTCAGTGAGTACGGAAACACAGTCTGTGCTCGTACATTTCTTTTGTCACTGACCTTAACAAACAAACAACACAGCTATGCTTGTTTCAAAGGAGATTTAACAGCTGATTACATTTATTTCTCTTCTGCTTGTGAATATAATGAATCTTGGGATGAAATGTCAACAGGAGAAGGAGGAACAAATTGGCTTAGAGGCAGTCAGTTGGAAGAGAACCACACTATTATCTGACACTTTGTGGTCGATGGAAAGTGACAAAGAACATAGTTCGATTAAAAAAAAGATACATTTATTCAGTGAAATGCTACTTGTATTCGTAATAACTATTAAAAAGCATAAAATTTGTCTTTTCAAAAAATTTCCTTTTTTTCCATTCTCTCTTTTCTGCTTTTTCATGACAAATCCAGTGCTTCCCATCTTTCCAAATCTAAATGGGCCAAGTGTTGTTTTGTA